TTTTTTTTTGAATGAAAGGAACATTGGCCCCGACGCCTTCTCCGAGCTTTTCGAGATCCTTTCGAACTTTTTACGGACCTATGACACAAAAAGTTGAGAAAAAATGTCACGATGCTGCCGATAAAATAATTTTGAGAAGTGGAAAATATAGCGACCCTCTGGTTGCGCCAGTACGGGAGACAGTACTATCATGCACGTTGATAAACCGAAATTTAGTCGCTCATTTATTTTCTGCACGATTCGACCGACTCCGACTTACCCAGAAACTCTCTTTCGCCATTCCGCTAACACTGATAGAGGTTTGCTGACCGCGCTGTAGGCTAACGATCGGTAGTTGGCTTTTTGCTCATTGAATACGACAGGATCTAATGTTTCAGGAGGTGGCAAAGCCTAAATATTGAGCATGCAAAATGCAAATTACTGCACACAAACAGCTCACATTCTCCATCACTTTGATAGCTGTTTCCACAGCCTGAGTCCATCCTTGACAGTTCGTCTCACCAGAACACCAAGGCAAAACAGAGGTAGACAGATTTTCAAGCTGCCTCCTAAAAACAAACTCAAATCAAAGGTGTTGGAGATTTAACAACATCCATTTACGTCATCAGTCCTGTCAGCCGCATAGAATTCGGTGCCAAATGCCACAACTGCTTTGCCAAAGAGTTCAGTTCAAATTGGGACAGGTGTGATGCTGATAAAGCTCTCATCGCTGGATCAAAGTCAATGCCTTGCCAAAATGACAGGATGACGGTTGAGAAAGCTCCGCTAAACCTCAGCCAAGAAACCTGTAAATATTCTCATAGTACACCCTACCGAAGCTCAAAACCATATAGGACCTTGTTGTCTTCAAGATACTCGTTGTTTAATACTGCAATATTCTGAGCAGCTTTTTTACATGAATCTGACTTCCAGTTCAATGCCAACAACGCTTGTTGGCCATCAAATATTTTTTCATTCTGAAAATAGTGCTCAAAATGCTTGTTTGCTGGGGGAAAAAAGATTAAACTCGTACTGAATCAAATGCTCCTGTAGCAAAGAAAGCATGTAACTTCTTCAAGAGTACACTCAGATGCAAAGTGCTGGCGATAGGAGAAGGCTTTTGTGTGAATACTATTTCC